AAAGAGATCTCTCGTCGAATCCAGCTCGGATGGGCAGCGTTCGTGAAACTACAAAAAAATCTTTGAGTCCAAATTACCTCAATGTCTCAAGACGAAAGTCTTTGACCAGTGTGTGTTGCCAGTGATCACATATCGATCAGAAACGTGGTCCCTCACTATGGGCCTCATAAGAAGGCTCAAGGTCACTCAGCGGGCAATGGAGAGAGCGATGCTCGGTATTTCCCTACGTGATATAATCAGAAATGAGGAAATCCGTAGGAGAACTAAGGTAACCGACATAGCTTGAAGAATTGCTCAGCTGAAATGGCAGTGGGCGGGGCACATAGCTAGGAGAACCGATGGCCGTTGGGGCGGAAAGGTTCTTCAATGGCGACCGCGCACCGGACGACGCTCAGTGGGTAGGCCCCCCACCAGGTGGACCGACGATCTGGTGGAGGTCGCGGGAAGCCGATGGACGCGGGCAGCGCAGGACCGATCGTCGTGGAGATCGTTAGGGGAAGCCTATGCCCAGCAGTGGGCGTCGTATGGCTAAATGATGATGATGATGAATCAAAAACATTGTAAAGATAGAAAATTGATTAATTGTTAATTGTAGATATACGCTGTTCTCACTATTGACAATTAATTATCAATTTTTAATTGGCTGAACAATTAAATTTTGCCCAACACTGACTAAAAGAACTGTTACAAAATTATGTCCACTACCATTTCATTCCAATGTTTGAATTGAATTTATTTTATTATATTTATGATGCAATTGCAGATTGTAAATTTTATAGTTAATGCATGAACAAGTTGTGTTTTGCCACATCATTTGTAACTTTGTATAAGTAGCATGTTTAACTTAGTATTACTTATAAAAGGACATACTGTCCTTTTGATGGTCAGTATGTTGTGATTACTTTTACTATAATTTATTGTTACGTATTAGGCTCATCTTCCTGTATCCAACCGGTCATTCAATACACTTGCAACAACACATACGCGTTTTCTTTAATTTATAATCAAATCAAAAAGTGAACCTTATTACAATCAACAGTTATGTATGATGAAAAGAAACAAAATTGAAATGTGTCATTTTATATTAATTAACTCCATATCTAATCCAGGATTCATGTCCAATTCTGAACTTTTCTACAAAACGCACTCAATTTAAAACCTTACAATTTGTCTATATATTATATAATATAATACATTATATAATATTATATTGTCCTTTGAGGTGCAACGGGTGTGCTAACACGGTGCTCAGTTCTGTACTGTTTCAGTACATTGTGTACTGTAGTAAAGCTTATGCCGGTGGACTCTGCAGTTTTTTTGTCAAATCCTGTTTGTGCCAACAAGAAAAACATAACAAATTATAATGTTTTACAAAAGTACATAAATGTTTGCAATCTCTCCCTTAAAAAATAAAACATCATAATGGTAAATACCCCCCTTGTAAAACCAATCAATCTTGGCCTTCAATCCCCTTTAACTAGAATTTTCAATGAGTGCAATACTATTAACAGAAGAATCCAGGACCTGGATGACCACAACACAAGAAATATTTTTGTAAAAAAAAAATTTAAAATTGTTCAAACTTAAACCCAAACAGTAGTTACTTACGATAATAATTTTGTACATTGTTTTGTAATTTAAGCTTATTTTGTTAACCCTTTTATAGTAAATGCTATGTACACCGTAATTGTCATTATACATTAGATGTAAAACCGTATCTATGAGGAATGTTTAAATGCTGTAATAAATATGATGTGGTAGTACTTAATAAATAAATAAAAAAAATAGCCTATTCAAACTTCAGAAATAATTTTTAAACTGTGGTAAGTATAAAACAGTCTTGAGATGAAATCCCTAAGAAATCTCGGTTTTGTTTGACATGATATATTCCACATTGAATTTTGCTAGAGTATTAGGTGCTAAGAGAAGTTAATAATTATCCTTAACACCTTGTGTAGTTCTATACAGCATTTGCTAAATAATTCATAAAAATAAAAATAAATATATTCTTTGGAGTTCTCTTGGTACTGGGGGAGGCCAGAAGGCTGACCGTATTGTATGCCACCTCTAGGTTAAATACGGGATTTGAGTGTAGTTAAGCAACTTTGTGTTCCCAAGTCGTGGGTTGCCGGTCTGAGCTATTAGGCCAAAGTAAAGCAAAATAAGATAAAAAAAAACTTACCTTGCACGCAATCCGGGCACCAACTGTGGCCGTTGTCGTCTTTCTTACCGCTAAAGTAGAAATAGGTCGGAGGACCCGTGGAATTCAAGTTAGCGCAATATTTTGAAAAATTATCGAAGCCTTCTATTTGAACGTACTCAACATCAGCATTCGCAGTTGTTGTGGGTTCGACGGCCATTTTTTCAAATTATAAAACAAGCTTTTGTACTATTCAATTAGTTGAATAGAACATGTATGCCACAAATATGTATGCCTCAAAGAGAATTTAAGCATGCCTCAGGACAGGAAGATTTTTTTTTAAGTAGAGTTTTAACGGCTTTGGCCTATACAGAAAAAATTAAATTGACATTGACTGACAGCTGATGAGCTAACTGACACACCGCTAGCGCATCCCTCTATGCCTTTAGATCTCAATTAAAGTGTATGATCTTTGCCTGTGACAAGTTTGTGGCATAGACGATGGAAAAAATAATTAGCATATGGTTTGTGGTCCATTAAGACAAATAGAATGGAAACAGACTGAGCAATTTCATTCGTTCCGTTCATGGCTATGTTTCCATACGTATACACTATACACTCTGTAAAATTTTCAACTAATGGCGCATCGCGTGTATTTAGAAAATGCACCAATTACCATGTTAAAGTAAATAAAACACAAGGAATCACGTACCCCGCATAAATCAACAAAAATATTTACATTATTGCTACATTTTAATTATTTTTCAGTTTATTTTCATAAATAACAGCCCTTGTAGCATGCCCCTGATAAAGCTATTATATCCACATTTAGCTATCAAATTCGAATGATTAAACCACAGACCACATTAAGTAACTTTTTATCGTAATCGTTGCAAAAGAATATCGCAGCAGTGCCAAACATGACCGCAAGGTCACAGCTGATTTTAAAAATATTTTGACAGCTATGCATAGTAATTTTGTCAACGTAAAAATTGAGTGCGACAAACAAGATGAAAAAAATAATAATAACAAACAAATTGATACATTTAAATTATTGGGATAAGGTGAGGAGAACATTTTTAATACGGTTCAATACATGAGAGCAATGATGAACCTTTCAGATCGATAATTCAATATTTACAAAATGTTCCAATGACTCTGAATATTTTCTATATAATCAATCATTGAATCAATGTGATGTGATTATCGTGAAAAAAATATATGTTAAAATATTTAGAAAAGTAATTAATACAAAAAATATACTTATGTGTACTGTATATGGAATGTAATTCCATCCTTAGCTAGACTAAATATAGCAGAGTTGTTTTACAAGTTGTACGGCGCGAGAAGGCTATTATCTGGAGCTATTGAATTCGATAGTGAAAATGAAAACATCTATTGAAAAGTAGTATTTATTGTGCGGTGGTATTATTTACTACGTACTTTGATAGATGGGACTTCTTATGATTGGCGCCTCCAATGTTGTATGCTCTCAGGGAAATATTGTTCATTACATAGACTGTTACTGATAGATTATAGATAAACTGAACGTGACCAGTAAACATGTTTACTGGTCACGTTTGTAGGTTGTACAGTCAAGAGCACATCAAGCTTGACACTTTGTACTTTGAACCGTTCTTGTCGTGAGCGGCATAAAGTTGGCTTTACGTCTTAAGTGTCAAGCTTGACGTGCTCTTGACCCTGTACATGTACAACCTACAAACCTGTACTATACACGTTCGCGTGTGACCCAACAATTTCCCAATAAATGCTTAGGGGTCGAAAGTATTAGACATGTTTCTAACATGTCAAAAACTTTCGACATTATGTATTGGTCACGTTGAATGACATAGCCAACAATGCCAACATGCTCTCTACTTTGCCCGACTTTACGCAATCGAATACATATTACACATATTTAGACCAACTTTATAAGTATGCTCATTTTATGCCCCGGGCCTGTGGTCGTAGTATGGCAGTAATACATCGCATACATTATGTGATAAACCTCCCCGTGACTTATTTATTTCAGTTGACAAAGCTATGTTGCCATTATTACAATTTTTTTTAAATAAAAGGTTAGATACTGCACTAGAGTCATTCGTTCTTTTGTTTATTTGGTAATGAATTACGGTTATACATTTTGAAGAACAAGGATAGCGATATGAAATTGCATATATAGCTATCTTTGTCGTTTAATCATCGCCGCGAAAACTAACAACTACGCAAATAACGTAGTTTCGTTTCTACATATTTTACAAATATTTATTTATTATTTACCTATTTCTAATTACTCTCATGTATTGAACTGTATTAAAACTGTTCTCCTCATTTTTTTTCAATAATTTATATTTTATTTAAAACAATTTGTTTGTTTTTATTATTTGCTTTTATCTCGTTCGTCGAAGAGATACTAGACTAACATTGAAATTATCAATGTCAGTCTATGGTAGTTCAAATTAGTGACTTATTGATAAAATTACTGTGCAGAAACTGTCACATGTTTTAAAACCAGCTGTGACCTTGGGGCCATATTTGGCACTGCGATATTCTTTCGTAGCCATTGGTTGCAGCGCGCTAGGTGCGACAAAAAAGTGGCATCACGTGCTCGCCATGTTAGCTATTGTGTTAAATTTTAAAATGACGGTTTTATTACTCAAATTTGACAGCTGAATATGGATATAACAGTTTCATCGCGGTGGCATGCTACGTGAGTTTAATATAAATGATATCAATTAATATTGTCTTATTTTAGTTCTTTGTTATCAAGAAACTAAATGTTATGTTTTAAGTGATTAATTTGCAGACTGCTTGGCAATTCTACGCTGTCACAAATGAGATAGCTTTAGTAAAAACTTACCTTCTGCAAAATCCCGACACCATCTATTAACGCCTTTCTTCTTTGTCCCGGTAAAGCAAAAAAATGTTGGAGGACTCTTATTACTAACGTCGTTGTAATATTCTGAGAAGGTGCCGTAGTCTTTTAAATTAACGGTCTGTACAGAATGTGGCAATGTTTTTGATGGAGCAGCTCGGTTCATTTTCCGAGCTACGCGCTTAAGTATTAAGACTACATTTATATTTTCAGGGTCTTAGAAAATAAACATGATATAATTCTTTTGAAGTTCCGCATTCATCATGAATTACCCAATAAGCAAAACTATGAAGAAAATGAATGAAATGACGTTTAAACAGCTCTGAGTTTAAACCAACTATTGTTCCTTTATTTTTTTTTCCATCCTCTAAGGTAGGTTCCACAAAAAGAATGCTGTCGTTTAAGAATTATAGTTATGTTACAGCATTATATATCCCTTGAATTGAAACTCACCAATCCACGATTACAATGGTCTCAAATACTTGAAAAAAGAATGAACGGTTACTTTTATATTCTATACTGTTTACCGGCTTTTTACATGCATAAATTGTCTATGCTTAAACCGTTGACGTTTTTGACAGTTGCTCGAAATTGAATTTGAATGTTTTGTTTGTCCGCAATTGTAGCATAAAAACTAATGTTTTTGTCCATTAATAGTGTACTTTGAAGTGAATTGAAGATTGGTAGAAATGGAAGTGTCGACAAATAATAACAAGTCGTTTATACAGCCTAGACCTTTGTCGGAATTGTTACCTAGTTTGAGTGGTATGTTTATCTGTTTTAGGTGTCTGAAATGAAAACGTTATTTTCATGTATTAGGGTAATAATAAACCTATACAAGTGTAATAATGTGTACATAAATAAAACAAATATGACATGTAATGTGTGTGCATAAATAAAAATAAGACATGTAGAAACGATTAAGTTGATAATTTTGTTTTTCAGCTATTTTATCGAAAGATGCTATGCGAAACTTGGCCAGCACAAAAAAAGTACCTCGGACAACGACGATGCAATCTCGTACCGTAGAAAAGACTAATATAAGACCACTGACTCTTGCTGAAATGAGAGCTGATATTCTCGGTAAACATTTGGTTAAATGGCAGGAAAGGGCGCATTAGGGAAAAGATTTTTACAATTTTGTTTTAAATTGTTTTTAGTGTTTGTTTCAGATAGATATAAATAAACACTTTGTTGTTATTAATTTTTCTCCATAGGCCATAGTTTTCGAGAGTCCAGTTTCCATAGTGCCCCCTTTCATAAAGTACAATCAAACATTCTCAATTAAAATTATAATCAGCACTTTATTATTGAGGATGTGACGATGCATAATTAAACCTTAAATCAATAATATACCTACGATAAACATAGGAGCACTTGTCTTTAGTTATTTGATGGGCTGGGTGGTCCTAGCACGGTGGTGCTGGCTGTAGAGCTCCTGGTAGGACCAATTTAGAAAATTAATTTTTCTAATTAGCTTTCAGTCCTGGGTGTTTTGATCTGTGAGTGTATCCCAGAGTGTATTCCATTGCCTTGATACTCGTACTACATGGAGTTTCCTAGTATGAGACCAGGTAATTAGTATGATGGTTTGGCACATTATTATTTTTATTAATTTCAGCTCTAAAACCTCGGTCCCCAAGACATATGCAATTGCCATCAGCAAGGAAACGGGGTTGGAACTCCTCGGTGAAGGTGGACTACAAGAAAATAAGCCACACTGCAGATGGTCAGATGAAGAATAACCCTGTCAGAAAAGTCCTTAACTTTCAACCTCTCGCTAAGCCTAAGGTATGTTTTTTGTTAGGGGAAAGTTAAAAAGAGGAATAATGATTGTAAAAGTAAACTATTTTTTTTTTTTTGGAAGAATGATACATACATATTATGGATAAAATAAAAAATCATTACCAATATTACAAAACCATCTTCATTTAAGAGTCGATACAACCTCAAATGGCCTTGATTTTTAATTGTTGGTTCCACATAGCAGTGAAATTGTTGAATCAATCGCTTATTATAAAAATATATAGTAAAATTCAGGATATACATTGATTAGTAAATGTTGTGAAAACACAATTGCTAAAAATTTTCATAATAGAAAAAAAATACAAACTTACCTCGAAATTTTACAAGAAAACTGCTGTATTCTATAGCTACTTTACATATACCAATGATTTTTTTTTTTATATCAACTGAAATAAATAGAACACGTATAGTATACAATATACATATTTTTAAATGACTGTAATTTTGTTTGTAAAAAAAAATAACATCTGAAACAGCTCAACCTGCACCGTAGCACGAAGTCAGCATGGAAAAAATTTTAATTTAAGCTTAGGTAGTATCGACTCTTAACTAAGAATTCATAACAGTTTTGTGAAAGACTGCTTGAAATAATTTTGTAAAAGACCTGTGGTACACCGATACTGTTCACTTTTTTGCAATTCCACCATTGAACTTACTCAGTATTTGGTACGCACAATGAATAGGACCTGTACTAAAATTATTAATTGATAAAATACAGCAAAGTGATGACAGAGAAATAATATGTATTATGTAACAGCATTCCTGTAGCACAGAAGAAAGAAATAAAAATGACACCATTTTATTAGTATGTGAATATGCCTGCAATGTTGTGACTATATTTGAACTTTAATTTAATACATCTTATTATATTGTAATTCATAATTTGTATAATATTCATAGTAATATTAATAACAATAGTTGTTATTTCCATATATTGTTTATTGCTCTGCCTGTGGTACTTTGTAACAATTATTTTTGTCACAATTGTAGCCTGCAGTCAATTCAAGGATGACAATGGCAGAAAGACTGCAAAATGTGGAAACTCCTAAATTCCCTAAGCCTGAGTTTAGGCCTAAAAAATCAATCCATGTACAAGGTAAGTTATTATACTTGAATAATGAGAGCGACTAATAGACCATTAAATCCTCATTTATGTTATGCAAGTGACTTATATTTAGGGAACATTTATCGTACATTCAAAACCATACCATCATATATCAAAAATTCACTATTTCAAATTTTCTTCAACTTTAAATGCCAACATCCAAAAATTGACTTTTTCTTTCAGTGACAATATTGGTTACAAAGTGATATATTATTGAGTACACCCATTGAAATTTGGGTATCGTCTGGTTTTGTCTATGGAGAAATACATATAGTGCATTACCTAAATAATATTTTACATCATTATATTTTGACATAAACAACTTCAGTATGTATTAATTTAGCTCTATTATTTCAGCAAAAAGTCTTGTAAGAATCAGTGGTGTTGGAGCTATACCACAAACACCACTTGAAACAAGACCTCCTATCAGGAACAGGATAACTATGACTAATAAGGAGAACAGTTCACTTCAAGTCAATGTTTTAAAGAAACAGGCAAAACTGCTTCCCATGCCTGTTAAGAAAAAAGTTATAACTCCAAAAATTGACACTCCACTCATGAACTCCTCATGGAAATCTGGCAGTGATTCAAGTTTTCTACAAAAAGAGAAGGAAATCAATGAATTAGAAGAAAAAGTTCTAGCAGTGTCAGAAGAACAAACTCTTGAGAAAATCGCAGAAGTGTCACCACCAATTTCAACTCCATTCAAGGAGTACAGAAGTGTCCAGGAATTCTTCAATAACTCGAATTCTATCGATAACTCTGCTCTTTACAATGACACTATATTGTGCTTTGAAAAACCTTCAATTTGTGTTGGGAATGAAAAAAAGGAAGAAAGTGTTATTATGTCTCTTTGTGATTTGTTCAACAAAGCCACTGTAGTCACAAAAGCTGAGAAAGAGTACACAGAACTTGATAATCTATTGGAAGTTGAAAAGCAAACGGCAAATAATATAAAGATGCTTGAACGTACTATTGAAATATTGACTAGCATCAAGAAGTCACACGTCAATTCTTTGCAAAATGTTAGGCAACTTATAGAAGAAAAGAAAAACGTTAGGAAGAAATCTGAGAGTGAAAATAACAAGACATTAGTAGGGGAGTGTAATGACGTAAAGAAACCAGTGATAATGAGGACACCAAGTCCAGAAAAAAGTCCAATTATTAGCAGACCATGTTCAGTGATCAGATCAACAAAGTTACCTACTTATAAGATCCCTAAAAAGAATTCTTGTTTGATAAAAAAGGCGATAAGTAAATCAATGCCAAATGTTTCAAAAATCGAAACAACGCCTGTGAAAGATTTTGAGGGACAAGCTTTGAATATGTACATGAAGATGAAGGAACATCTGAACTTTTTGAGCACTCCAATGGTGAACCGAAATGTGCAGGTGCCCAACACACCAACACTGACCAGCCATAACTTGCAGAAACAACTAGATAAACTCTTTGGAAGCTAGAATAATACTGATATGTTAAGTTATTTATATAGTTTTTTTTCGATTATATTGATTTAATATAATAAATAATTATGTTGGACATAGCTGTTTGGTTATACACTCCCGGACACATAATTGAGCCACCTCGCATTTTTGTCCTAATAAAATTTTATATAAAAACATAGTTAGCATTGAAGAAAAACTTTTCTCCGTTATTTAAAATTAAAATTTTCAATAAGGATTTAAGGAAATGACATTTAGTATACCACAAATCAAATCAAAGCAATCAAGCATTGTTTAAGCTAAGCGTTTAATATTGATGATGCAAGGTGGCTGGAATTATGTGTCCAGGAGTATATAATAATCTATGTTACTGAGCCAATGCTGCAGGTTGGCACTGATTAACTAAATTGTAGATTGTATAGTTTTCACTGCTTCAATTAAGAAAATATTGTAATATTTAATGAGATGTATAGAATTGAGAAGAGTAACAATTATTTCTATGGATTATTAAATTAATTTGAATAATTAATATAGTTTATAAATTGGCGGTTTATTTTAACGACTAAATTATCCAAGTATGTTCATTCTTGCAAACAGTATTCATTCATTCAAATAATTACAATCCGTGTGGACAATACGTACCTAAGTATGTACAATACGCTCGCTGCTATCTCGTTACGTCAATGAGTTTTGTTTGTTGTTTCTACAGTTTTATTAGGTTGATAAGCGGGAGTGTGATAAAACTTGTCGCTATCAAATTTTACTTTAAGTTACTGCTCTGACGATAAAAAACACAAGATAATTAGAATTCGACCGTACAAATTGTGATATCTTCGCAAAAAATTAAAAAATCCAAAGATGGCCTTATCAAAACCTATTATGAATTTGGTAGCTTCATATTTGCAAAATTTATATTTGCATCCCATTAGAACGAAGTCCATATCGAGGTAAGTAAGTTATTAATTCATTATTTCACTAGGGACTAAGGTTATAATGTGAACGAGCTTTGTGCTAAATGTACAAAGTCCAATGTTCGCTTGTATTAATATTGTATTCTTATCGTATCAATGGTAAACCCTATATTATTGCGGCCCAAAACTTAGACCCCGGTTCTAGTGCTGAACCATGGTGTTAGACGTGCTGCAGGGAAGGTAATGTCGTTACGCGGAAGCTTCTTCCATTTACACCAATATTGTACTGACATTGGAATAATGCGCACCCATAATCAAATGTATTATGTGGGCAAACATTTACTGGAAATGTTTCTATCTGGCACTAAATGCATTGCTATTTTATTTGTTATCATTGAAATTATCATCACTAAGAACATGATTTTCAGAAATGTTTCTTTGGGATGGGCACTTGAATAAAGCAACGGCCTCACCGAATATAATGTGTTAATAAATGTGTTACATTATTAATTTTAAATGAATAATTATGTAACAATATTAATAGGTATATGTTTGTTCAGGGGGGCCATCAAAAAGCAGATCTCCACTTGCTACAAACATGGCATGTTTTCTTTCACCATTAACATCACTCTATTCAGGGTTATTTTTAAATGCTTAAGTTTCATTGCATTCACTAATGAATTCATTTGTTAACATATTGAATATATATATATTTTTTATTCCCTTTTTGCCAAAATGCATTCGGTCTTATGCGAGACCATAAGCAGTTCATTTTTTAATATATTTTGGCATGTCAGGCATACCCTTCCAACATTGGGTATCCTTTATGTAGAAAACTATTCAGCTCAGTTAGTTGAATCCCAAATATATTATGATATGGTAATGTTTTCATAAACATGTGTTTTCCAGCTGCGTGATTGGAGCGACTGCCAGTGTTGCTTCACAAGTAGTCGCTGGTGAATCACTCCGTCTCGACCCCGTGTTGGCATTTGGACTCTATGGGTAAGCAAACTACTAAAGATGCTACATGTCAAATCTACCATAAGTACTTTATTTACTGACAATATTTATAAATGTATGAAACAACAGCAACATGTTTATTCTCCTCAATTCATTTAGACATATATGTAACTACATAGTCAGTCAGTAGTTGTTTGCGGTGCCTGTGTATGGGAAGGTTACAAAGTGTGAAAAACTTGCTCATTTTACATTCACTTGTTGAATAAAAAATTTATAACTCCGGCTGTGTCACATTATAACTAGTGTATATTATTGAGTTCTTAGGTTTTCGCGATTGTTACACATAAGAAATGAAACTATTTTTCCGGATTGAAATTGTTGATTGGTCAACCGGGACCATGGGCCCGAAATGTCAGTTTGTTTAAAAAAACAAATATACTTGCTTATATAATAGCTTGTGTGGCACAAATAGGACCTTACATCAATCACAAGCAGGTATAGGCGCTGTAACTAAGAGTTGCAGAAAACCCGTAACATCACATGCTTTTTGATGGCCTTGGTGACCTCACGGCTTACATTGGGGGTGCTGGCTGCGGAGGTCCCGGGTTCGATTCCCGGTAGGACTGAATTAGGGAAATGAACTTTTCTAAATTGATTCTGGTCTGGGTGTTCTGGGAAGTGTCCCAGAATTCCATTAATCTATATACATAGTAAAGTAATTCCCCAATTTGAGACCAGCCAATTGGTGTGGTCGTCTGGCGCATATTATTATTATATCATTATCTATTTTTCAGTTTACTCTTTGGAGGAACCCTGCCGCATTACTTTTATGAATTATTGGAGCGAATTTTCTCAGAAGATGTAGTAGCATATCCATTGGCAAAGAAGCTTTTATTTGAAAGATTAATCTATGCGCCATTGATCCAAGCATTCTCTCTCTACACATTGGCAAGATTCGAGGGCAAGAACCATAAAGCTGCATTGAAACAGCTGTATGCACTATACATGCCTGTCTTAGAAGCCAATTGGAAGTGGTTGACTCTTTTCCAAGTTGTTAACTTGGCGTTTGTGCCACCTATGGTAAGTTTTTTTTTGGGCTTTTATATTATAATTCGCACCTTGATTGGAATAAGGCCACATCTGCAAAATGACAACTTTTCAGGAGAAAGGTTTCATAATTATAATAATAATGCACACACTCAGCCCCGCGTTAGGAAAACCCTGTATCGCGGGTGCCATGGACACACACATAGACAACCACAAATTACACCCAAACTCACGAGAGACATAGGGCGCGTTCAAATTAGCCACTGTTAGTCGCGCTGCAACCGCGCGGCGGCCGCGCTACAGTCGCGCTGCAGTCGCGCTGCAGCCACGCTCGGTTGCATCACGGTTAATGAGGTGTTGTTAATGACATGTTAATTTTTCAAATTAACTACGATGGACGAAAATCGAGTTAAAGAATTTATAGAGAATGCAGAACAACACCTTGCAATATGGGAAATCAGTTCCGCCAGTTATTCTAATCGACTGGAAAAAAAGGCATGGGAAAATTTATGTCTAAAATTTATTGACAATTTTGAAACTAAAACTACAAATGAAAAAAACATAGCAGGTTGTGAGTAATTTTTAATATCTATACGTGAAGTGTGTGCCCCAAGAACTCTGACCTAACCCTTTGGTTCTGAATACAAGTGTGAAGAATAATGTTAAACAAACGTAAAAATCCCATAAAAACCCGTAAACAAGGCGAAAACTATTTACAAATATTTTTCGTTAATCGAGTTTTGTAACTATTTAATGGTAGTATTCATTTTGATTACTTTGACAAAATAAAGGTAACGAACGGATTCTAAAGGTGCCTACGACATTATCGATGAACAACGAGAATTATAGACGTTTCGAGTTGTTTGGGAGTGCTTATTGAGAGTGTGGCATTAATTTCTAAATCCAAGATGGTTGCCAAGAATTTTCAAAAATTTATTTTTGGTAATCCTTATGGAAATGGCATTTATATCTGAATACATGATGGCTGACACGACTTTTCACATTTCTAAATCCAAGATGGCGGGCACGATTTTTCGAATCATGGTAAGTTGGGTATCGTTTTCGAGGTATTTGGGGGTGCGATACGATACGATTTTTCAAAAAAATGCAATGCAATTTTTTTGAAAAATCGTGTCCGCCATCTTGGATATACAAACAAGTGCTATATTCGTAAAGAGCACCCCCAAATACCTCGAAAACGATACCCAGCATGCCATTATTCGAAAAATCGTGCCCGCCATCTTGGATTTAGAAATGAGTGCCGTATATTCGAATTAAATATCCCTAAATACCTGGCAAAAGGATACCCATATTGCATTTTTTTGAAAAATCGTGTCCGCCATCTTGGATTTCCTTCGCAATGAGCACCCCCAAATATCTCGAAAACGATACCCAACTTGCCATTATTTGCCCGCCATCGTGCATTTAGAAAAGTCGTGTTAGCTATCATGTATTCAAATATAAATGCCCTTCCCATAAGGATTACCAAACATAAATTTTTTAAAATTCTTGACAACCATCTTGGATTTAGAAATTGATGCCACATTCTCAATAAGCACTCCCAAACAACTCGAAAACGTCTATAATTCTCGTTGTCGATTATACGTTGTTGATTATATTAATACGTTCTGGTATTCTTTTTAATTTTTTTTTTCTTCAGTTTTAACAAAATAAGTGAAAGTAACGTTTCTTCGTCAGAATCCATAGTGTAACTGAGTCGAAACATAAAACATCACTAAGAATTTGGTCGCACTTCTGCAGCGCGACCGCCACGCGCGCCGCGCGGCTGCAGCGCGGCTAATTTGAACGCGCCCTAAATGTAGGCCATACAAATGTTTCTCCCGGTCCGGGAATCGAACCCGGGACTTCTGTGTGGCATCCAGCATGGTAACCACGTTCGGCCACGGAGGCAGTTAAAGCACATAAGATTAGTTGATAACTTTTACAATATGCTTAAATGGCAGAGTAAAAAAATTCACATGTACTTACTTCACTTTCCATCAGGCGCGGTGCAGTCATTTTGCCGAGTCACAATAAAAAAAAAAAAAAAAAAAAAAAATACTATGCTCCCGAATTTTGTGAAAATTTAAAATAAAGAAACAAAAAACAAAATGAAAACAAAACAGGTCCAAAAATTAAGTTGACGTAGGTTCATTGGAGGTATTGAAAAGCACTTCTGACGTATGATTGTACTAAGGATACGAATTGCACTAAACTAATAAATTGTTGCTAAAACTACTGACGTCAGAAATAAAGCCTTAGGGAGATGTAGCACGGGCGTAGCGTCGCCGTCGCCGCAACTGCGTTGCACTACATATTATAAATCAGAACGATATCGACTGAACTAGCAATCGGTACTATCTCAACTTTGACAATTTTACAGGTGAAGAAAAAAAATGTTGGCGTCATTTATATAGCAACTGGTTTATTAAATGAAATACGTAGTTTTTAAATATTTTTATTACACATACACTATGTATTTTTATTTAATAAACCAGTTGCTATTTTCTTATTTGTACAGTCAGTCAAAATGTAGGCTTCATAACGTCGGTGTTTTGTAAAAAGTGCCATTTCGAAAAATTTTTCGGAGGAGCCAGTTTTAGCCTATTTTAAAATTAAATTTTGGTTTTAATCAAGATTTTCAAAATTGAACTTTAAACAGGACAGGAAAAATTTTTCGAAATAGCTCTTTCGCCCTTCTACTAAACAACAACGATATGTATGTGTGAATACTTACCCAAGTGATACACATGTTACATTGACTCGTCACATATTGTTTAGTATACCTATTTTATTTGTTTTAGTTGCGAGTACTCTTCATGAACTTAGTAGGATTTGGTTGGGCCATGTTCTTAGCGACCAAGAGACGGCAGCAAGGTCAGAGGAAGGAGAACTAAGTACTGATAATGATTATTCGAAGGTGGTGGATAGATCACAAATTTTTAATTACTTTCAAAAGTTATAATTCATATTTTGCTAATCAGCTTTTAGTTCACAATGTCGCATGTTTATTACAACTGTTTTATGACGTTCTTGGAGGAGGTGGAAGGTTATATTACAATGTAATGCTTGTATAGTACTTACTTTTGTTGTGTATGCTATACAATATACATCATGCATCTTTGGTTTCGCGCTTTGCTTTAGTGAATAAAATATAACTGCAAACAATAAGTGTTGCTGTACAGAATAATTATAACTTTTGAAATACGTCTCGTAAACATCATACCTTATTTAGAAATCGGAATTGCATATTTATTTTGTACACTTTTTATATTTGCACAATAAATGTAAGAGTAATTTAAATGTGGGATATAGGGAATGTGATATGTTCTGCCTTCATCATAACTAACGCAATCAACTTTTTTTAACGAAATACATATCTGGAATCAGTGAAACGAAATCGGATTTTTATATCTTATTTAGTTTCAGTTTTATGTTAAGAGTCGATATTGCCTCAACTCGAATTCAATTTCTTCCCATACTAATACGGTTCATTTTTCTTGGGTACAGCGGCAGGGATACTGACTTTATTTCAGAATTTATTTTTTTAACAAACCAAATTAAAACCATTTCAAAAATATATGTCATATATCGTGTTCTGTTTAGTTCAGATGATATAAAAAAGCTTTATATAAAATGTGCTTATTCAATACAGCGGTTTTCTTGTAACATTTGGAGGTAAGTCTGTTTTTTTTCTATTGTGAAAATTTTTAAGAATCTTGTTTTCACACTGTATAGTAATATCTTCAATTTCAACACTTTCCCTGTTATGCGAAATTAACCAAAGCCATTTGAGGTTCTATAGACTCTTAAGCAAAATCAGGGGTAATTAACATTTTTTAAGTGCCAATATATCGAAAGATACCGAAATACTAAAACGTTAGTTATGACAAGGAGGGCAGTGTTAGTCGTGTTAGTAAACAAATGAAAAATGTTATAATGTTAGTTAACTACGTACTTTATTTTACAAGTGGGTCCAGTATATTCTTCTAAATATTTAAGATATACATTGTGATACGGCTACTATGGTCTATGATATAGCATTTGCAATCAATTCATAGTGCACAAGGTACTTCGAGTTTGAGATTCTTATACACAAATAATAACTTTATAAAACTCAAAGTTTTAATATATGTTTTTTACTGTTATACTGAGTATTATTTATTTCCAAATTCATAATATATTGCTTTTAAGTTTATAATAGTATTTTCACATTTTTAAATACAATGTTTCTATCTTCCTACGCGAAATCGTTATTCTATCAATTCGAGTAACAATTAGTTTGAACTTAGCAATAAATAATCAATAAGTTAAATGACTAGAAATATAAATAAATTAGTGTAAATAGCAGCTGTCCATAAATATATTGCACTTTAATGCTAAAATATTCTAGTTCAATAACTATCAATGTCGCTTTAAAGACTAGAGAGTATTTTTTTTGGTACTGGTCAAACCTTAATTTTCAATTAAATAAAATTATCAACAAAAACAAAAATATAAAAAATATCCAAAAATTAGTATTTAAAGTAATACAATAAATAGGAAAATGTTTGGAATTACAATAAATTTGACTAGATTAAAGTACACGTCTTATCTAAATTACAAATTGATAATTTATTTTGGGCGAAATAATTCAACTCCAATTGAATAACCAGATAACAACCGTTCGTGCAATAATTTTAATAATTTACACAGACCCCCAACAACAGCGCTTCCTTATCACTTGCAATATCTCTCCAGCTTGTCAACACATTCACGCCGATATAAAGGTTACTTCCCATTTCGATTTACTTCCCGTTTTTTTGTGTTTGTTGATTACACAAATAGTATTTTTTTATTATTGTGCCAGATAAAATCGCCCATACGATCAATTTTTTTTGTAATGCATTATTGTTACGGGCACTGCAAACGTTGAACTTGAATACTTCCTACAAACTACAGGCCTTAGAATAATAACGCATAGAATGATAGTTTCATATCAAACGAACTGTCACAAGCGAGGCAAAAATCAAATTCATGTAGGCTAGTTTTAGTAGTAGGTTAATTTTCGGTTTTAATGAATATTTATATCAAAATACAAGTTGAAACGCGTTACTTCCTTGTGGAATGTGATGTTAGTATCTATTTTATGTTTGTCTGACGTATTTTTACACTCATTTACCGCACATTTCGTCATTTTTAGCTAAAATTCTTGATCTGTTCGCGGTGCAAGTTGACCTTGAGCACTGAAGGCCCGCCCGCTCGTGTAGGCCCATTGGGCGCGCTTCAATTTGCCTCACTTAGCGTGTGCGGACTAGGTTTCTATGCGTTATCATTCTAAGCTACAGGCTTATTTAAGCATAGTTTTATTATTAGATCGTTCCTACAAGAATTGCCAGGACCAAGAGGCGACTACGGCAGAGATGTTTGAAGAATGAGGAATTGTTATAGTTTAGTACAAATGTACTTTCATATACCTACGTATACGTGCTTGCGTAGATGAGCATATATTTACATTATAAGCTCGCAGTCCATGTTCCTCCCAAACCGAGGTTATTAAGCGGTATACCAAATTATCTGTTGTTATTCTTATCCCCACAATGAAAGATTGTTATGGTAATTTACATTAAACTTTGTGGTAGGTCCATCGTGCCGTATATGACGTCGCCGCGTCGGTGTGAGTGCACCCTAAAGTATACGACACGTACACTGACAGTTCTTCAGTTTTGTTTTTATTTATGGATTACTCGTCTCGAACTCTCGACCAACTGCGAGAGCGGCTGCAGCTACTGTAGCTGTTGCTAGAAGGCGACGAAGGCGTGGAACGGCGGTACGGGATCGGACGCTTGCGCGCGCTGTTTAGTGTTAGTATGCATGAAATGAATGTTAGTTACGACATGTTAGATAAAATATACATAATTATTATTAATTTGGCATGCCATTATTTGTGAACTCTGTTATGTATACATGCATGGGGCATTATAAATGTATGTCTAATATGACCTGCCAGTCTGTACGAGACGTGTTTGTATACAAGTTTTTACAATACAATAGCAATATTCTTTATTGCACACGGATAAATACAAAAAGAAAAAATGACAGGTACAACAGGCGGCCTTATTGCTAAATAGCAATCTCTTCCAGGCAACCTTCAGGTTACAGGAAAAAATTAAGATGAAATTAATTGAGGGCGCAACAGAATACGTATTCAATACACATATTGCGTATACACAAATTAAGAAAATAAAATATACTAAATAAATAAAAAACAATATACATATAATTAATAAATTGAAATAGGATTATATAAAACACAATAATAATAACCTTAATTTAGTAGATTTTGTAATGAAATAAGTAAAAAAAAAGTGACCTAACTGCTAAATAAAGTATTGTATTTTTGAGTTTGTATGTGTACATATAATGTACATAAACATGCTTTTGTATGAAAAATATTGTTATAGTTACACAAATTACATTTTTCCATCTGTTATTACTTACCATATGAAAATCCTCAGGGTTTTCAAATGTACCTTTCATATAAAGGTGTTTATATTATTATATGAAATTTATGAAAACAGGAAGTCAAAACAATAACTTGAGATATAATAAAGGTAGCTCTTATTAAAAGTATCTATAAGCTAATTTACCTAAATTCAAACAGTGAAACTGCTAGCTCATCTACCATGCAGCAAAACTAAAAAAAAAAAACAACCAAAATAATTGTACAATATACTTTAATGTGAACGGAAAACTATGGAAACAAACACTGGAAGGTCCTTATGAAATATAGCACAATACATCTGGCATCCATCACTGAATTTTCATCAATTAGAATAATTCACCGTCTTCGTCTATACTTGAATTTGTTTTTCCCATAAGAGTCAATTATGGGTGCGCTACGGAGGAAAAAGTTTAAATTAATTCATTTATAATTTTATACAGACATCCCATTAAATCTAACACGGGCCATGAAATGTAACCAAACGTTGAAACTTGGTTCAAGAAAATCAATTTTATATTTGTACAAATACGAAATATCATTGAAACTTCTTGACTTTTTATTTAAATAAAAACTTCATGGCCGTATTCCCAAATTAAAGCTAGAAACTCGTGTTTTAGTAGCACACCCTAGGATACAAACGTTACCAACTGACACTCACAATTAATTTTTGATTCAAACAAATTTTTGAGACTGGCTAATAATTTTTCTCAAACATAATATACAAATCACAGTCTAGATTTTTATTTGTGATAGTTTTATCATTAAATTAAAAACATAAAATATACTGTCTAATTCTTGGTGCAGAATTGTCAATATAATTTTCAAATTTCATGAAATTAAAATACGGAATAAAATCAATAATATCATATCTTTTTGTCACGTAGTCGCATAATTCTCAAACCAACATATACATATAGAACACATTATAAAGCAAACAATTTACTGTGATACATTAAATTTGTGTTAATTTTGTTTTTTTTTTTTACGATTATTGGCCAGTCTCGACCCCGAGTTAATGGTAAAAAGAGCCACTGCGAAAGATACACGTTATGTATGTAAAAATAATGTTTATAATTGGCAATAATACAATACATATAGCTTAAACTAATCTATTGTCACTTCAATCGGAGCTAGTCGTGTCTTCAGAGCTCGTGCTATATTTGCGTGACTTTTTTCTATAAAAGAGAAAACAAAAAATATGTGACATAAAACGAAAATAACAAACGTCATATGGTATATTACGAACATCGAAATGTGGTCGAAAATAATCCAATCCGTTTCTTTCACTTGTTTAAGAAGAGAAAGAGATTATACTATTATAAATTCCGTCAATACGACCGCAATTGATTGTAACATTGAGGTACGTAGTTTCACAGAACGGAAAATGTTATTTTTTGAAAAAGAACAGCCATTTAATTTCGTTTACAACTGTTGATAAAAATATCTCAAAAATTCGTACATTGAAGTATTTTCGAATCGCTATCGTAATATGACATACGATAAAACGCAAAATAAAATTAGAAGCATAATACTAAAATTAAAAATTAGCATGGGAGAAGCGGCACACTAAAAAGTTGTTAAAACACCTAAACACACTAAAATCGGCAATCGAGAATTATTCATTGACACCACGGTACAAATGTTGCCAAATAATATTTGACAACCCTATTTTGGGTAAACTTATTAAAAAGTTTTATATCGGTCACTCAATAATAAAGAGACGAAAATGGAAAAGCCCTCTGTAACATTTTAAGTCATTGTCCTGATGAAATGTCTTATTGGTATAGCCAAATTGCGTACTTGGTTGTACCACGACCATAAAAAAAATTTATATATTTCCCAAAAAAATTTACTTTTCGATTTCGTCACTTTGTTTTTGAAAGTGCGATATGTAGTTTTTCAATTTGAAAATGTTTACCACAGTCGAGCGGAGAAGACATGTGTTTCATCAACCAATAGTAAATCATTATTTTGACGTCGTCACGTTCATTAATCAAAATAACGCAATTCTATTGGTTGTTGAATTAAACAAAATTTCTCCGTTTAACTTGGTTAGCCAATGTCCTGTAACAGCGTGACAGTAAACAAACATTTCTCGACCGCCTAGAAATGTCCCAAACATTATAATACAGTGCCTTTGAATAACGATAGCTGCAAATGAGTACGTAGTGTCATTCCAGTGACGTAGATGCGTCAAAAGCACTGTACGTGTCAGAGTGCCTTGTACCTTGTGATGCGCCTCCTATCCAAGAAACTGGGCGATCCCGCGCGGCGCGGGATGGACGGCGAACGCGTCCGATCGCTCGATCTACGGTAATCCGCGTACACACCAGTGATTGTTCTGTTTTGTTTGTATCAATGGCGCATGCATGCCATTTCCATTACGCATTCAATTTGTTCGTATCATTAGCGGAAACAAAATCGAAAGTCATTGTTAATATTTAGTTTGATTGTTAATTAGGAACAAGTATTGTTAACGAGTTACTTTGATCGATATTTTACATGTAGACGACCACACTATACAGTACGACGTAGTGATGTCTCGTTCAAGCATCCGTTGGCTCGATCGAAGTTACTCTCACGTTTTCGTTAGTAGCTTTTACCTCGTAGAACGTGTGGACCGCGATGAACTGCGTGAGGAGCGCGATGAACTTCTGCTGCTGTATGAGCTGGAACGACTCGAACGGGAACGCCTGACAAAATAAAGATTTAACATTACACCGTGACATACGCCAAAGAAGTCTCTTTTGTGTCGCAAAGAAAGGCGTTTAAGAAAGTATATATTCTGCAATGGGTGATCACTGGCAATAAATCATGTTTTAATTGCATTGACTTACAATTATATGGACGTCGGGTCCGCGCTAAAAAGTGTCCGAACTTATAGGGCGTTAAAACCGTATACAGAGCGTCATTCACGCTTTAGTCTTCGTTTGTTCGACTGACAGCGAAGCAAGCAAAATTAGACAGTACTGCGATGACATTATAATTTAAATTCAACGTTTTAGCTTTTTCATATTCCTTTACATGTCACTACGTTTAAATAGGTTGACTTGGGACTTTTTTCGTGGTTTTTGTATTAGACCCGTCGTCCGTTTATTTGTAAGTCAATGTTTAATTGGGATTGTTTTGATGTGCCACACGCCGTATTTTATACGCGCCGACGACGCACACTAGGGCTCGTCCTTACAAAGTAAAGCTCAAAACTCAATTTTCAAAATGTGGGTATTTAAAAAAATATATACATAAGTCGTAATAAAATCATTTTTTGGCGTAAAGAGCAAACTTTGAGCTGATGCACGTCACCACTGACAGTAGTTACTGACTCAGTATTTTTACGCGTGATATGATACTTTATTACGACTACGCTAAATTTTTATTTGTTAAATACCCACATTTTTAAATTTGCGGATAGAGCATTACCTTGAATGAATGGGCCCCAGTGTGCGACGCGCCACAGACGCGTTGTAGTCACGCGAATGTGTCACGCATTTTGATAAAAGATAGTTTTCATTTTAGTTTTATTTGTTAATTTCAGTTAGTTTTTTTAAATGAAGCAACTTCCGTGGAGTACATAACGCACCCTTAGTAATATAAGGGCACAATCCAAAAAAAGTAGATTTTTGGGAAATCGCGTATTAAGATTCTGGATTCCTACATTACACCTATTTTTTCAAATAATATGCTTATTATTTAAGTTATAAATATGAAATTTGGCAGATTTGTTCTTTGATAAATGTATTATAAAGAGCAATAAAAAAAAAATAATATAAATAAATTCCATAAGTTTCAAGCAAGTTAAAAAAACACTTTCAAGTTAGACCCATATAGTACAAAAAATATAACAGAAATATGGAGCTATATAAGTTTGATCCCATTTATTATTTAAGTCCCTATCAATTCCCAAATTTCCCAAAAATCTACTTTTTTTGGATTGTGCCCTTATATTACTAAGGGTGCGATAAGCTACTTGCTTGCAACGCGATGTTTGCGCGCGTTTGAAGCGATTCTCTACAGCGCGTCTGCGGCACCTATACGCGCAGATTACGCGCGTTTACGGCGCGTACGAAATACGTCGTGTGCGTAATCTCAAATTTAAAGTAAAATGAATAAAGTCTCACCTAGATGAAGAATACGAGCGCGACCTCGACCGCGACGACCGCGAGCGCGACCGCGACCGCGTTCGTGACCGGGAGGACTTGCCCCGCGATCGCGACTTGGTGCGCGACCGCGATCGCGAACGCCGCGACGATGACCGCGACCAACTGCGTCGCGAACCGCTGCGATCACGCTTCTTTACTTCAGGCGAGCTCTCAATACGCACTGGACTTTTCTTCGGACTTTCCTCTTTGACCGGACTTTTCTTCTCTTTCACAGGCGATTTGGATTTCTCGTCGATTACTATTGGACTGTCGCTCCGTTTTTTCTTATCATCGTCTTTAGCGTCCGAACGCCCCGCGTCCGATCGGCCCGCTTGCGAAGTTGAAGGTCCGTTCGTGTCCTCAGTCCGTTTCCTCTCCATAGATGCCTTCGCCATCAAAGCCAACTTCTCCTTAAGTCTGTTCAACTCTCTAATATCCAATTCGTCCTGCCGAGCTCTCTCGTCTAATGTCAAGAAGTCATCTTCAGAATCGTCGTTTTCGCTGGACGAGCTACGCATGCATGCAGCTTTAGGTTTGTAATTTTCCACCTTCTCTTTCTTCTTCTTTTTTGGTTGCAGGTCAGAAGGCGACTTGATGTATTTACGCTTATCTTTTTCTGGTAATTTTTCGATGATGTCGCGGTACCGCTCCGGGCTACGTTGCGCGGGAGAGTAGCTAAGACTAGATGTGCTTCTGCTCCGGTTCGATCTTGACCTGGATCGACGAGATTCCCGTCGGTCATGATTGCGCCTCGATTCTAACCTATCACGGTCCTTGGGTGACGATGACCGCTTATCTTTTTTGTTTTTCGGTGTAGGACTCTTTCGTTTTTCCTTTTTAGGTGTTTTCCTTGCAGGACTCCTAGATTTGGATTTGCTAGAAGTCTGTCTTCGCCGCCGTCGTTCTTCTGGCGTAGGAGATTTCCTCTTGGACCGACTGTCCTCACGGTCTACAGCTTTTGAATTAGATTTGTATTTATCAGATTTGCTTTTCGTCGGAGGTGAATCTTCACGTCTGTATTCTGACGATGGGCTTCGTCTTCGTTGATCTCTTTTAGCTGGCGAAGCGCTGCGCTCTTTGTAATAACGATTTTTACCTTTGGGTTCTTTTTCCGTTGCCTTTTTTGGTGGTGGTTCCGATTCAGATTCGGATGAAGAATATTTCCTTGAATTTCTATAGTTCTTGGTAGGCTCTTTGCGTATTTCTTTAGTGTTAATCGTTTTTTTATTGGGAGACCTCTCTCGGTATTCGGAGGAGGCGTCGCGTTTAGCCCTTGACACGCTCCTGTTTTTGTGTAGTTTTACTTCTTCATTATTTTCTCGCTCCCTTCGCTTTGGAGCTTCGTCCTCATATCTCTCGTGGTTGTTTTTTGTTTTTTTATCATGCCTGTCATCTTTCTCTCGCCTACTGCCAGACTCCTCTTGTCGTTTTTTTCTATCGTCTGGAGATTCACTTCTCTGTGCTCGTCTGTCATCGCGGGAATTTTCTCTGCGATTCCTACTGGTGTCTCTGGGAGATTCTTTTCTGTTGTAGTAGGTCTCCTCTCTTTTTCTATATTCTGGAGACGGGCTCTTTCGTCGTCTCTTTTCTGGTTGCGGGGATGGACTGGATTTACGGTAGTTTTTGTCTCGTTTATCTTTTTTGGTTGGTGGTTCCACTTCGGATTCAGGTGATGAGCGTTGGTCGCGTTTTGAACGCTTGGAACCTCTTGGCCTTTCGGAATCATCTCTTGATGGTTCTCTTTTGTTATCTATTTTAGTGATTTGCGATTTTCTCCTGTATTCTGGTGAAGAATCTCGATCACGGGAAGTGCTGCGATCCTCCCTCTTTCGGGAATGATCATTGTGACGTGAGTTTTTGACAACATCCTCCCTTCTATCGTATTTTTTGTTTTTATCATCACGATCCTTTTTTTTGTACTGAGTATCGTCTCTGGTCTCACTATTGCGCTCTCTAGTTCTTTCTTTATTGTATTTAACTGGGGAACTGGAATCAAATACAGTACAATTGAGAATGTGACATAATATACGTATGTATTGTATTATTTATGCGTCATTGTATTGACTATTTGAACAAATGTTCATTCGATATCAACATAAGTATTTCGAACATTTTAATTAAAATGGCAATGAAAAACATTAAAATATGCCATAACAATTGTTAGTAGAAACTTCTTTTAAACAATTTTAACAATTTAGTTTATTTAAATAGAAGCTGCTGAATTCAACTGCCTCTATGGCCGAACGGTTACCATGTTGGACTGCCACGCAAGAGGTCCCGGGTTCGATTCCCGTGCCGGCAGAAACTTTTGTATGACCTACATTTATTTCTCACGTGAATTTGGGTGTAATTTGTGGTGGTCTATGTGTGTGTCCATGGCACCCGCGATACAGGGTTTCCTTAGTGCAGGGGGCTATGAGTGTGTGCGCGTTACTATTATTATGAATTTTGTCTTTGTCTGAATGAATAGTAAAACTAAAAAGTTCCTAAGGTTAAAAAAAGAAATACTTCGAATGGAAAGGATGGATGATAAAATAACGATGCCCGATGTAGAACGTTTATAGGGTGGAAACGCATGGAATGGTCAACTTTCGCGTCATAAATAAAATAATAAAATGTAAACTAACATAGATATTTTCTGGTTATCCTTATATAGTTTTAAGAAGAAAATAAGAGAAGTACTTTTTATTACTTTTTCTTTTCGGCACATCACTTTAAGATATGTTTGTCCCTTGTGTGATCGACTCAGGAATGCATATAAATCTTGCCACGAACACCGTATTTACTAGCTAAAATACTGGAGTATGTTTGTAATGACCTACCTATTTAAATATAAGTATTGATTTTCCTAGAGTATAATAATTTAAAAAGAAATAACCCGACTAAATTACGGATATCCTTAAAGTTACCAGGCCACAAATAAGCGTATATGAAGTGATAGATGCCAGTATAGAAACGAAAGTGATATCTAAGGAATGTAGCAATTGGGTGTTAGATCTGCCTAAGCATTGTGACAAAGGCTTAGTATTAGGCAGCACGCCTTTCTATAGTAGTTGCATTGCCAGGGCTTTAAACGCAAAGATCTGAAGGACCTTGCCACTGCGCGTGTCACCCCGAGACATAAGTTGACAAGTGTCATGTGCCTGTAATTTCACCTGCACCTGTATACCCTTTAAAACCGAAACGCAGTAATGTCCACATTACTGCTTGGCGGTGGGGGTGCTGGTGAAATTACCGGTACATGGGACTTGCCAATTTTATTTCTGAGGATGACAGTCGCAGCGGCAGTGCCCCTTAGAACTTTGGACAGACGTGTCCTTCCCTGAACTAACTCTTTCACAAGGAGATCTGTTGCTACTAAAATGTATGTATATATACGTAAGTGCTCACCTCTCGCGACTCGAAGGTTCGCTGCTGCCGCGTCGTCTGGCACTCGATTTTTTCTGTCAAAATTCAACGACACATTTAAATGTCACAGCTCACACAGCGCGGAATATTAAACACCAGTGCCAATACGAGAAGTCTAGAGTGGTTACGGCAACTAAACATACTTTTTACTAAAAAATATACTTCAAATTCATCTCTTGATTCAGATTCTTGCACCCATCAAGATATGAAAGTACTTTTAAAACAAACGAATAATCACTTTCACACATGCATACTAAAACTCCATTTAAAAAAATAAATAGAACTCAATTGTCTTTTGTCTGAAATAAACAAAAAATATACATAAGCCATTTACGTAAGCGAATAGTAAATAAATGTATCAAATTAGTGTCTTTCAGAATGTTACTTTACAATTTATCCATAACATTCTCTTGTATATTATAAAATGAAAACAAAAAAATATAGATAAGTATGTGTAGAGGTATAAAAAAACTTTTCTTGGCACCAGTGCGTGTTTTTATTATATATGTATGTATATACTAGGTTAGTAACACATTACGATGTCAATGATTGTTCAACTTAGGTAACGGATAAAATACATGTAATACACAAAATCAAAGGTAAAGTTAAATATGAGAGGGGGAACGTACCTTATTTAACAAACGGTGGTGGTATTTGATACCATTTAAACATGTGGAGCATCCTTAATTAGTTTTGGGTACAATGAGAAGAGGGAGAATGTTATGGATTAGTTACATTTTAGTCAATCAGTCTGTATATAGCACTCGATGTGTGGTGCAAAAACGTGGCCACCCTTAAAGTAAGAGGTGTACTAGTTGCGAGTTTTATTTGTCTCATTATTAATCCGGGTTTTCACTATAAGAGTACGCTCGGACCGAGTTCACCCGGACGCAGTTATGTTTTTACGAGTATACTCGGATCATTCTATGAAAAGAAAATGGCGGCAACTAAGGAAAAGTGAAATTAACGTAACATGACGGCAATAATGGGATTTTAAACGTTTTTATCTTCTACTTCACGAATCAAATTATTTAAAGCACCCAGTTAGTGACGTCTTAAAATCCATTTTCTGGTCCAAATTTTTGTCTTGCATTATTTTTTCCCTTTTATGAGTTTGTACTTTAGCCATTAACATCATCATCGTCATCACTGGACTGGACACTTGATGATTTTTTTAAATGCTTAGTGACAAGACGAACAAGTCGTGCGCCTGGCGGTAAGCGATACGCCTGTCCATAACAGTTGCAGTGCCACTCGGAGCTTTAAATCGTAAAGATCTTAGAGCCACTGCGCCCGTCACCCTGAGCCATAAGTTGACAAGTCCCAGTAAACTTGTAAGGTATAAACCGAAATCCGAGTCTATACGACCTAACTCGTACGAGTGTACTCGGTTCGAGAGCACTCGTATAGTGAAAACCCGGCTTTAGGGATGGAGGGGCAGACGTTTTTGTAGGACACATCTGTGCTTAGCGCGGACGCATCCGGCCGGCAGCACCACCGTCCGTCGGTCGGTCTACAAACACCATGCATGTAAATAACTGTGTAACACTCGCCCCTCGCACCGCGCACCCCGCGGTCGTCCTCCGCGCGAGTTAGTCACAAATTTACAACAAAATGCATTACGGAAATTATCACGATACATTTTAGTATTCACCTAACATAGTGTTTACTGAGTGTTATTGTTTTGTAATATACTTACAGTATACGTTATTTCTTCAGATAAAGATGGCTATCCTATGAAATGATGCACAGTTAAACAGATAATATTTACTGGCTATTTCTTGTATTTACAGAAAAAAAATAATATAAAATGAAGTAGGAACAGAGCAATCACATTTATAAAATGATAATATCGTTCGTCTCAAATGGAACTCTTAAGTATTTGGACATGATGCATCGTGTGGATATATTAGACACGTGAAGCTGGGGCAGATAAACTAGAGACAGCAAAAGACTACAGCGATAGGTCCACGTCTACAGAACGAGAATCAACAGGGCCGTGAGAGAGTACAAAGTAAAGGTGAAGCCCACAGTATGCAGAGAATGGTGCAGGAAATCGTAAAAGTCTGTCGGTTCCAGGCGGACGTGTTCAAGTCTTCATACATAAAATCAAAAGGAAGCATTGTGCCAATAGCTAATCAATCGACGTGGGTCTCCTAAACTAACTCGGTCAGGACCTAGGATTTATTTTGAGTAGGGTAGTGAACAGTGTAGCATGATAGGAAAGTCCCCCAGATATAAAAAAAAAACAGTACTTGTGACATTATTTCGTTTGAAGAAAATGTAGCCTGACAAAAATACCCTTGAAAATTCCCAAAATACAGAATAAAAAAACATTTTAACCATTATGTTAGAATTGGAAATAATTCAAAGATTACACTCAGGAATCGAAAAGAAACGTAAAATGGTAAAATACTAACCACTAAGTACTGGAAATTGTAACTTAATTAAAGAAACATATTTACGCCATCTCTTGAATCTTCGTGCTTGGGAATTGTATCTTGTTCCTTAGCCCAGCATAATCTTTGAACTATGGAATCCTACGTGGCCTACGGCTGGGTGTGAATTAGATTTTATGTTTCTAGATTGAGGGTAGAAGTTACCTTTTTCTTCTTTTTGTGTCGGTCGTCGTCGGAGCTGCCGGAGTCGCTGTCCTGCCCCTCAGAATCACTGGAACTGTCGCTGTCCGGAGACTTGGAGCGTTTCTTCTTTTTCTTGCTAGATTCGTGCCTGAAGAGAAACAACTGATGCTTTAGCTAGCCCAATTATGTAACATTCGCATGAAAGCAATTTATTACATATCATTATTGTTTATTATTGGATCCACTTACGAGGGTAAAGTATAATACTACAAGTATGGTAACTCCGTACAAACGTAGCAGCGCGACTGGTATGTGTGCACGTCCGCCGCGCGCCGTGTACGGACGCACACATCCGCATAACTTCGCGGTACACTTGAGTTGCACAGCCGTGGGTCGCATGCGTCATTACGTTTTTAATTTTTTTTATGATACCATGTGACGGGGCGAACAAGTCGTGGGCCTAATGGTAAGCGACACGCCTGTCCATAACAATTGCAGTGCCACTCTTTTTCAATAGCAAGGATATGGAGGGGCACTGCCACTGCGCCCGTCACCCTGAGACAAGTCCAATGTACCCGTAATTTCACCACAAACCGAAACGCAGCAATGCTCACATTACTGCTTGGCGGTAGGTAAGGTGGCAGTACTTCCCTGAACGAACTCTGTCACAAGGAGCTCTACTGCTACTAGGATATTTTGTATTTCTGCGATGGGAGCACTGACTGGGCATTTATTTTATTCATAGTAAAGCTTGAAATGGCCTTTTTGTGTAACAAATTAGTTAATTTATGCTTCAAGGTTCCTTATTATATTTCTATTTGTGAAGATATGTAATTAGCTCGCGGATGTTATTATTATTATTTAGATAAATAAATAAATAAACCCTACGCTGAGAGCAACGTCTAGGCAATGATGCGCCGAAAAAACAGGAGTTACAAAACTTGTTTTATTATACTATGGTGTTGTTAAGTTTTTATGCACGTGACATTTAGAACCAGTTTGTAGTAGAAATAAGTGATCCCAGGTGTCCAAATTAGACAACATATCGTTCCTCTCCTGAATTAGTGTCGTAACTAGCATTAGGCCATTTTCAAGCCAACGTACGTACGTAATTAATAGGTACAGGCGTTACTTTGCCGAAATATATGTTAACAAAATAGGAAGTAAATTAATTTGCTACCCCACGAACCCTCTGAAGTTTAAATCGTGAAAATAACTATGTTTGTGTTGAATATTTAATTAAATATTTTTTTCGGATCTAAAGTCGTGACCATAGGATCTGTAAAAAGTCCGAAACGCTGTTTTGTTTAAAAAGATAAATATAAGGGATATAGATCTGAAAAAATAGTTACAGTTCCAATTGTCTAACAATCGCGAAAACCTAAGAACTCGATAGACTTAAATGAATTAAAGAAATACATTTCCTTAAATAAATAAAATTATAACCACACAAGACAGTGCGGGCAGTGGTGTAAAAAAAAACATTATTGCAAACGAAGTAAAAATAGGAGAAAAGAATATTTAGAGTATAAGGTACTATGTAACTAGCTGGTGCCCGTGACTTAGTCTGCTGTAGAATATATTGTACTTCGAGTGACCTACTGTACTATGTCATAGTTTTATTAGTTCTCCATACAAACTTTCATCCCCTATTTCAGCCCCTTTAAAATTTATTTTTGTCACATAAAGTAGCCTATGTCCTTCTCCTAGGTTCCATCTATATCTATACCAAAATTCATCAAAATTGGTTCTGCGGTTTAGGCGTGAAAACGCAGGCGTTACGTTCACATTTACAATATTAGTTTGGATAAAGCTTTGAGTATAGAATAGTATAGACACGGCAGTTAGCGAGGAGAGAAACGATATTACACCAATGAGAAGCAACATTCTCGGATTTAGTAAATTATCCTATAAATTGGCCTCGGGTTAACCGCCTTATTACTTACAACGTAAACAGCCAGACACAATGACACAATACCTGTGCCAAGGCTGTCGCATCAAGAAACACTTGTTCATACAATGTTAGTCACATGATAACTCAAAGTAACTTTCGATTAGTTGAAATAAAATGTTCACCTATCATCACAGGGCTGAGAAACGAAGAAAGAAATTTACTATCAATGTTAGCCAATCAAAAGGAAATAATACATAACAATAACAAAGGAAAATTCCTTCCATCTGACTGGATTTTTCCATAACTAACGTAACCGATATTTTTAGTAAAATTGAGTATAAATATAAGACAATTATTATTGGTACAAAGATCGAAAAAGACAAAGAAAAAATCATTCGATCAGACTGGATCCTCTCATAAGTAATGTTATTGACATTTTAGCAAAATTAACTTACCTGGAATCAGTGAAACGAGATCTACAACCCTCTCTAATCGGTTTTTTGATATTTTATTAAGTTTCAGTTATATTGTTAAACTAAATCAAAGCAATTGACATTTTTCAAACAAAAAAACTTTAGGTACCGATATCTTGAAAGTAACCAAAGTGCAAATTGCGTTAGTAATAACAAGGAGGGCAGAATTGGTAGCCACGTTAAGGCAGCAGTCGTTGGTACGTTTCAGTCCGATCGAGGGATTTTTTTCTTTATGTTTGTTCGATGTTTGTACCAATAAACTATAGTCGTCACCAAATAAGAGGCCAAATTTGACTATTGTCATTGCAAACTGAATAGGGATGTGAACTAATCATATCGGTAACGACATTATACGATTTTCACAAGAAATCGATTAAAAATTTTATGAGTTTGTGATTGTTTAGATTATTTTTCAGTTCTAGATAGGACAATTAACTAATTAATTATTTTAAATGATTTTTTTTATAATGTCAAGTGACTGGACGAACAAGTCGTGCGCCTGATGGTAACTGTTAAGGACAGGCGTGTAGCCTGTCCTTAACAGTTGCAGTGCCACTCAAAACTTTAAAGTTGCAAAGATTTGAGGGGCACTACCACTGCGCCCACCACCCTGAGACGTAAGTTGACAAGTCTCATGTGCCTGTAATTTCACCAAGATCACAACGACACCCTGTACTTTTTGCTGTAGTGTATACATTAGCAGACTTCACAAGGGCAACCTGCAGTTATATAACAAAATTCTGAAGAAAATCAAAAGGCTTCATAATTTAAATTTTTATTGACTGTTATCGGAAGACGGGCCAAAATCGTCAGTTGACCTAGTGTCAACAGTACATATAATTAATTAGTTTAGAAGTATATTGTCAATATTTACATCTTTATCAAAATCTTTCTTTATTAATTTTCTCGTTTTACGAGTGCCGCTAGACCGATATCAATGTTGCCAGTTCAAACTTGCAAAAAAGATAATAATCTCAGTATAAGTACTAAAAAACCGACCTCAAAAGTATATGGAATTACATCTATTTGCCAAGTTAAGTTAGGTACCGGAAAGTGCGCAAACCCGGATTCATCCCCTAGTTTGCCACTATACGGAACTTGCCACAGGAGATAATAAAAATCGGTTCTCACTACTCAAAGTATATTGATAGAAAAAAAGCCGTGAACTGGAGAATAGCTAAATCAACCATTAAAATAATTGCTCCTTATAATACAATTTAGGCGCTTTTTCTAAAAATGAATGTTCATGCGTGATCAGCCACCCTTAGAGGTGGAGGATTTTCTTCAAAATCAAATGGTACCACTATGGAGGGTACCCTCTTTCCAACAAAAAAAGAATCATCAAAATCGCTTCACAAATACCGGAGTTATCGCGTAACATACATACAAAAAAAAACATACAGTCGAATTGAAAACCTCCTCCTTTTTTTGAAGTCGGTTAAAAAGGAAATATAAACCTGCATAGCTTTGCGGTTATGAGTACGGGGCACTTTTAAATTTTTGTTTTAATATTTAATATGTCAATTTTTTTCCCAGAAATTGAACTGAAATTGACTCCGTGAAACTCGGCGATTAATTGGTTACAACACTATTCTTTAAAAACAATTAGATTGAGAACGTAAGTGTTTTCTGGACGTTTCGGAGTAACTCAAAATTGCATTTTTTTTAATTCTTGCGAAAACAATACTTGACACATGTTTTGTCAAATCAATAAAATTTATATATATATTTGAAACATAATAAAGTAATAATTGTTTGTTTATTGTTTGGTTGATAGCATTCAAAGTTACATACTATCGTCTGCTTGTGTACATTTAGCCTCTTATTTGGTGACGACTATAGTGGAGTATTTTCACAAATAATAGATAAATATGACATTCAATAAAGAAAAAATATAAGACAACTTTCGTTATATCATACCTACGTATGAAATTCCATAACATTTTTCTTTGACTGAAATTAGTAAGACATTGTTTTGAGTAAATTATTTGTTTGTGTATTGAGCGAATATGTGAGAGTTATAGTTCACAATTATACTTGCCTTTTAGACAATTGTAGTGTCACCTGTCTGGGTTCAAAAGTGAGCTATGAGAACTTTCCAATAATAACAAAAACACAGAAAGTATTTTAAAACATAATCGAACTATGCATATTTACAATAATAATAAAAGCGATACCCACTTTTCCTTTTTATTCTTCTTTGATTTCTTCTTCTTCAGCTTCTTCGCGTCTGGCGAAACACTGAAAACAACACTATAATTATAAATTGTTTTCTAAACCAGTTCAGATTATTACATGGCCTAGACAATGGCAACACGCTTGAAGTGGACAATAATAGGAGTTCTTTGCATAACGCAATTATTATGCTCAACTAAAAAATTAAGAATTCGAAAGAAAAACTGTCGTTATAATAACAATAGACTTAACAAATCACAGTGTTAGTACGATTTTGAAGTCCAAGTGTCTTGTCTTGTTTTTTTCCATGATAATAAGTGACGAAACGAACACGTAATACGCCTGGTCGTAAGCGACACGTCTATCCACAGCAGTTGCAGTGCCACTCAGAGCTTTAAATCTCAAAGGTCCGAGGGGCACTGCTACCGCGCCCGTCACCCTGAGACATAAGTAGACAAGTCCCATTAGCCTGTAATTTCATCAGCACACTTCTTACCCTTTAAAACCAGAACGCAGTAATGGTCACATTATTGCTTGACGGCAGAAATAGTCAAGGTGGCAGTACTTCTCTGGACGAATTCTTTCACAAGAGCTTTACTCGTGTAGATATGGACGAATGTTCAATATGTATACCTTCGTTTCTTCTTCTTTTTGACGGCGTGGTCGCGGTCGCGGCTGCGGTCGTCCCGTTCGTGCTCCGGTGTGCGCACGAGAGGATAGCGCTGGGCGTGGTCGCGTGCGCGCCTTTCTGGGTCCAGGCTAGACCCTTCCACAAATCGTGGCGAGATGCCAAACGCGTCGCGCAGCCGCGCGTTCTTCTCCGCTTGCGCTTCCGCCACCGCGTGCGTCTCGCGAACACTGCAACATCACCACCGTCTTATTCACTCAACTGCCCATATATACACCACTACTCTAGAACTAAAGTACTCTTCAAACAAAACCTACGAATAATTGATAATTACCTGCTCGGCACTTAAGTGCGCTAAAACTGGGGAAACAGTAAAACAATTTAGCATATTTCGTAGACTAATCATAGTAAGACAGAAATATTTCAATACGTAAATTGTTATTATTCGTAAACCAATGTTTTAGCTTAATTTCCAATTATGAGGAAAATGTGACAGCTAGTAGTTTTAATTGAACATGTCGCGACGAAACATTGTAGCGAAGGCGGTAAGCTAATCGATAAAATGTTAATGCACACCTTATGACGGATCTCATGGACTTCCTCTCCCGTTCGTCGGAGAGACAGACCTGCAAATTGTCGTTTAAGTTTCGATCGTTCGACGAACAATTACACCGGCAGCAGCACGCGTTCCTTATTTCAGCGAGAATGGTTCGCAGAGCGGGCTCCAGGCCGTCCGCGATTTGCGGCTCGCTCGGCTGCGGCATGATGGCTGGGGCGACCGATTCTTGGTTAGGGTCGTGCGAAGAGGCGCGCGCCCGCCGCTGCGGCCCCGCGAGTACGGCTTGGAATGTGCCACGCCACAAACGCTCAAATACCAATCTGTTGTTTTCGCGACGCGACGCCCTACTCCTTTGCATTGTACTTAACCTACTTATTACTAATGGAAGACTTGGTTTCTTAACACTAAGGTTAGGCTATATCATGGCGGCTTGACCATTGGAAGACATGTTAGGCGGGGGGCGCAGGGCGCTGGGGCGCTCGGCTACATGGAGAGCGGCCGGCGACGGGCCGGCGACGCTACTGCCGATCCGCCGCCGGAATCACGCAGCCTCGCGCCGCGCGCACCCTGCGCAAACATCGGAAATCTGCGACTCTTCTCAAAGGGTACCTACCCTCCGACCCCTTTGTGCGGTAATGAGCCGTGTTGAGGAAAATTTGCTACTGGCTATAATTTTGTAATACTGGAAATTCTTTCGTAAAATATGCTTTCTGCATAAATCTTAAGATTAAGATGAAAGTCCGCCAAAAGTGCAGGATACATAATGCTAGTTCTCCCTGTGTAACTGTAAAAAAACTGTCTGAAGCAAAAGAATACGTTTTTGTTATCATAATGTGCAGTTAGGTCAGTAGGATTTACGAGCGCCGGATTAGATTGTGCACGCCTGCTTGCAGTCGTGCGTTATGATGTGAAAGCACTGTTCGAAACGATATTGCTGTTTCCTCAATTTCATATAGCAAATTTCGCGTACGTACGTGAATACCTGAGTACACGTCTTCAGTATGCAAGTATTGTTCCATTTTATGATTCCAGTTTACTATTAAAGCGGAAATAGACTTATATGTGTCAAAGAAATAACATTCAAAGCACTAAAATGAATTAAAATATTGAACATGGCATTCATACATTCTATCTTTTAGGAAATAATAATGATGTCACAGAAACCCTATTCTACTTATCAACGTGAAGTGTCACGTTTCCGTGATCGTTCGAAAGGAATAACAATTTATTGTGACATAAACATCGCGAACCATAAGCGAGTTGGCATGTCAGAGAATAGCATAACGTTGCTTCCCAAAAAGAGTGACCCAAATAAAAATATTTGGAATTTTTTTTTTTACGCAACTGTATTCAAGAGCTAGTTTTTTTTTATAATATCATGTGACAGGACGAACAAGTCTTGTGCCTGGTGGTAAGCGACACGCCTGTCCATAATAGTTGCAATACCACTTACAGCTTGTAATCACAAATATATTATAGGCACTGCCACCGCGCTCATCACACTGAGACATAAGTCGACAAGTCCCAAGTGTCTGTAATTTCACCAGCACCCTTACCCTTCAAAACCGGAGAGTGTGTCTTGCAGAGTAAATTACTTTTATGCCTATAAAAATAATGCTAACAAAACGAACTCGATTGTAGTTTTATCAAAATCGTAAAATTTTCAGTACCAAACACGTCGGTTGTGAAATTATGTGAGGCATATAAATGTAATATTCTCTATGTAGGTCATATTTTGGCCTGAAATACTGCGTGGGAGGACTAAGACAGAAGTGTAAATTTATTTTCAAGATATCTACAAATGTTCTGTAAAATTGTAACTACGTATTTGTGGATTTTTTTAATACTGAACGTGTTCGTCTCATTCCTACGCGAAATAAAAATAACCCGATATGAAAAAATAAACCCCCTACCATGAGCCAGCGACAATTGTCGCTAGCGACTACGTAAAATATTTGTAAACAAAATGTCAGTACTCCTTCAAACAGTCGAAAAAAATATATATATTTCACAGACAAATGTCACTGTAGTCTCTTGGTAGAGTCTCCGAGTATCTGTGACGCATTCTCATTCATATGAAGAGACATGTTTTTCTTGTTATTGTTGAACTTTTTGTGCCAAACTTCATGCACGTATGCCAAAGCTTTAGCAAAAATAAAGTATCTCTGATATTGATATTTATTATATATTTTTCGAAGTTTATGCAACAAAAATTATTATACGATACATTTTAATAATAGACTATGTCCACTTGCACTATACTTAAGGTTATCTAAAACCAATGTTTATAATAGATATGCCACTCTTAATAAATAAAAATAAAAATAAAAAAAATAAATAACGCACACACTCAACATAGCCCCGCACTAGGGAAACCCTGTGTCGCGGGTGCCATGGACACACACATAGACAACCACAAATTACACCCAAACTCACGAGAGAAATAAATGTAAGCCATACAAACATTTCTCCCGGCCCGGGAATCGAACCTGGGACCTCTGCGTGGCAGTCCGGCATGGTAACCGTTCGGCCACCGAGGCAGTTGAATTAAGTGTTAAGACATTGTGTTAAGTGTGTCTTATCAATTTAAGCATTGGATTAAAATGAACTTAAGTTTAGTGCAAGTGGACATAAGGCTGAGATTGTTTTTTTTATTATAATACCAAGTGACCGGACGAACGAGTAGTGTGCCTGATGGTAAGCTACACGCCTGTCCATAACAGTTGCAGTGCCACTCAGAGCTTTAAATCGCAAAGATTTGAGGGGCACTGCCACTGCGCCCGTCAACCTGAGACATAAGTTGACAAGTCCCACTTGCTTGAACTGGCACCTTTACCCTTCGAAACCGGAACGCAGCAATGCTAACATTACTGCTTAGCGGTAGATATAGGTACGGTGGCAGTACTTCCCTGGACGAACTCTTTCACAACGTACTCTATTTACGAAGTACATTCAGTTTTTTTTTATTAACGATAAATATCACAGCTCCAAAACGCCTTGACATGAAAATGAATAGCAGAGAACTTGGAAAAAAGAAGTTTTAAAAAGAGAATAGTATACATCAAAATTATTAAAGGAAAATCGTAAATTACGTTAGTGGCCAAAGGACAGTTCACATTGTAATTTACTTGCCTAATTTATGACATTATGTTTATTCCTTAATAATAAACATTGGTTATGAGAATGATCAAGGCACAATTACCAGCGGACCCAACACTAAGCTTTAGGTCTGTATCGCGAGATTCAAAAAATATAAAACAACTTGATTTCTAAGCATATGCGTGGTTACATGTGGAGGTGTCTATGTACAATCACAATCGCTTGCGTACTTATGTACGCAATTGATTGTGTGTGATATGCGATAGTGTGTCATGAATTTTTAATTACTTTTTAGGTCCTCAGTTTGTTGATAATCAATATCCAACAACCATTTTTCTTCAATTTACATTTGTTGCCAATTTGGCAAAGATCGTTTTGTACGATCGTTATTTTAAGTTTTTTAGCTTTTAGACGCTGTAGAGCTCCTTGTGAAAGAGTTCGTCCAAGGAAGTACTGCTACCTTACCTGTTTCTGCCGCCAAGCAGTAATGTCAGCATTACTGTGTTCCGGTTTTCAAGGGTAAGGGTGCTGGTGACATTACAGGCACATGAGACTTGTAAACTTACGTCTCAAGGTGACGAGCGCAGTGGCAGTGCTCTGAGTGGCACTGCAGCTGTTATGGACAGGCGTGTAGCTTACCAGCAGGCGCACGACTTGGTCGTCCCGTCACTTCATATTACAAAAAAAAGAAAACTAGCTTAGCTCGAAAATTATGTTCCGTCGAAGTCAAAGTTCGTTTTCTAAATCTCAGCCCTAGTAGTATATAGACATCTTATTTGTCATCGTCATCGTAGACAATTGTTAATAAACACATTTCTTTTTCAGACATCTATGTATGGGAAAAAAATTACCACAAACGTTCAATCTGTTATTGTATTCTGGTGGCTCAATTAAATGTTTAAAAGAGAGTAGGTACATCTTACACATCACGCTACAAGGAAAATAGAAGCTCTACGCTATACACGAGGCGGGTTAATAATCCAAATGGTGTTCCATCTCACTTTTTCAGAGGCATTTCATTAACGTTTCACGCGGCGCGCGCTATTGCATTTATTTACCACGAGCACGCACTCTGAATTACTTATGAGATCCTCTCACCCAGTGCGCCTAAAGTTTCTTTACCAAGAACTCAGTTTCTTAATCAAGATTATTGATATCTTCCTATATTGTTAATAATAAAGGAATTAGTTCAATTTATTTCGCAAATAGTAGGGTCTAAATTTAGTAATTTGGCTGTTTGTGTTTCTGATGTCAAATAAAGTCTGTTATGGATAAGCGTATCGCTTATCACCAGGCGCACGACTTGTTGGCCCCGTCACTTGGTATTATAAAAAAAAACATATTAGGGAGTTACCACACTTATCGACACAATATGGTACTAAGTCGGTCGGAAAAAGTTTTCTTCTTTAGTGTGCCTCTTCTTTATGAAGGTTGGCGACCATTCATGGCTAAACTCGTTATCGAAGCTGCCGCACGAAAGAGGGAACCTGTACTAAGGTGGAACCAGTCTCTCAGGTTCTTTAACTACGAGGTTTTCCTTCTGTATCACGGTATCTATTGCCCCTCATTACGTGGTCAAAATACTGCAGCTTCCTTTCGTTTACAATTCTGAGTATTTCCAACTTATTTCTCATTCGATGAGGAACCTCAACATTGGTGACCTTGTGTACCCACGATATGCCAAGCATACATCTAAACAGCCACATCTCAAAGGACTCCAGTTTTAAGTATAACGCTGAGGTCAAGATCCAACACACAATATCAAACAGCAAGATACTCAAGACATAATAGCGGCCCAAACGCATGCGGAGTTTAAGATTGAACATTCTACAACCTTTTTACGTTCATGCAATGAGAGTGAAAAAGTCGTAGCGCGTTTCTCTTCCGCTCGCGCCGACCCGAAACTCACGTCTTTGGCGCTCGCTCTTATCGCATAGACATAATTTTTTTTTATATAAAATCAAGTGACGGGACGAACAAGTCCTGTACCTCGCGGTTAAGCTACGCGCCTGTCCATAACAGTAGCAGTGCCAATCTCAGACCTTTAAATCGCAAAAATCTGACGGACACTGCACCTGTCACCCTGAGACATTTGAAAGTCCCATGTGCCTGTAACTTGACTGCCACTGTAGCCGAACGGTTACCATGCTGGTCTGCCACGCAGAGGTCCCGGGTTCGATTCCCGGGCCGGGGAAGAATATTATGACCTACATTTATTTATTTCGTGAGGTTGGGTGTAATTTGTGGTGTTCTATGGGTGTGTCTAAGTCACCCGCGACACAGGGTTTCCCTAGTGTGGGGCTATGAGTGTGTAGGTTATTCATTTATTTAATTTCACCAGCACCCTTACTACCCTTCAAAACCGGAACACGGTAATGCTGACGTTACTGCTTGGCGGCTGAAACAGGTACGGTG